GATTTATATTTATCTATCCTGTAGGAAAATTATTTTTTAACTCTCCCATTATTTCTTTTCTACATTTTCTCTATATTCACTCTTGGCTTTTACAACATGCACAAGATGAAATAATCATTTTAAAAGTTTAACCTTATTTTCCCCACATATTATCAATTGTAATTAGATAGCTAATGAAGGCAACATCTCTGGAGGGTGTGTGGGGATTTAGAAGGGCAAATGAAATAGGAAATTTGGTAATCAAAGCAATTTTTAAAAATTTTAATATTTTCAAATCAGCTGTCTTGAATATCATCCCCAAATCTTCATGTACCATTTAATTTAATGGCATAGTCATAGATTACTATTTTAGGTAACCACAACCGATGAGTGTAGCCTCTGAATGCTGAAGAAAGCATAAAGATTGACATTTTTTTGAAGATGATAAAGAACAACCTTACCAAGAAAATAGAGAACTTAGTGTAGCTTTAATACCTGGAAAAATACTGAGGCAAATCACCGATCAGCCAGTTTGTATTTATCCCCAGTAATTTGCAGAATTTGTTGGTTTTTAAAAACCAACATGGCTTTGTAAAGACAAAAGTTCACACGTTTAAGACTAAGATGAACTGAGATTAAGATGGACTAATGTGTTGATTCAGTTCTCTTGAATAATGATAATAATAGCTACTATTATAATTATCTACTTGACATTTTTTGAGGCTTTACTATGAACCTGGCATTGTGCTAAGCACTCTCTATATATCTCATGTAACACTACTGTTATATGGAGTACACATTATATTACATGTGACAACATTTCACAGATGAGAAAATGAAGGCTTAAAGAGTTAAAGTACTGTCCCAAGACCAAGTCGTGGAGTTTGGTTTCAGACTCAGAGCTGGCTTATGACCTCTTAACCACTAGGTTTGCTGGAAGCCAGGACTGGTATTCTGCAGGCTCACATTCTCCAATCCTCTGCACTTTAAGTTGTATCTAGTTGGGTCATGGGTGTTTAGTTCATTCTGTAACAGCTGGATAAAGGGCAATGTCCCACATGACGTAATCCCCAAACTGCTCAACAAAGACATTGTTGTTAATAGAGTCCACTGGGGTCAATTAAAGAATCAAAGTCAAAGGGGAGAAGAGGGTGGTATTTTGACCAGAGAGGAAAAGGGCAAGGATTTAATTTGGGAAGACTGTTTTTTAAAAAATATTTAAACATTTATTGTGCTCAAAAATTAAATAAATCCAAAAAATTAAATAAATCATGTAATTCTCTTTATAGGATGGGCACGGTGGCTCATGCCTGTAATCCCAGCACTTTGAGAGGCGGATGCGGGTGGATCACATGAGGTTGGGAGTTTGAGACCAGCCTGACTAACATGGAGAAACCCTGTCTCTACTAAAAATACAAAATTAGCTGGGCATGGTGGTGCATGCCTGTAATCCCAACTACTTGGGAGGGTGAGGCAGGAGAATCGCTTGAACCCGGGAGGTGGAGGTTGCAGTGAACTGAGATCACACCATTGCACTCCAGCCTGGGCAACAAGAGCAAAACTCCATCTCAAAAACAAACAAACAAACAAACAAACACACCTCTCTTTTAAAGTACAAAATAATTCATCACCTTCCTTTATTATTTGCCCATTATTTAATCTGAATGTTTATAGCTAAGATTTTCTTAAAGTAGGTTACCCATGATTACAGCTGCCTGAGAGACCTGTCTCATGGCATGTATATGTTTTTCATCAAAGGTAGTTAGTTTGGGAATATGTGCGGGATCAAGATTCAGAAAATGTAGACTTGGGTTTTCCATTTATTATGCTAGTAAACTTAGCTTACCTCTCTGAGCCTTACTTTCTCAAGTCCGAAATAGGGATAGTAATACTGGCTTATCAGTACTTCCCGCACAGGATTCTTGTACAGAATCAAATTTGTTTACATATTTGAAAAATATGAAATACTGTATCCATGGAAAGGATGGGTGTAATTATTGAAAAGAAGAAATCCTAGCGTACTTCGGGATCTTTTACTACCATTTGCATCACTGTAAGATAGAGAAAATGAGAGCTGTGTCCATGCATGTTAGAAGTAATTTTTTTCCTTTTTGTATTCATTTTATTTTTATTTATTTTAATTTTACTTTAGATTCAGGAGGTGCATGTGCAGGTTTGTTCCATGGTGCGTTAATCTGTTTTGCATTGCTATAAAGGAATACCTGAGACTGGGTAATTTACAAAGGAAAGAGACTTATTTGGTTCATGGTCCTGCAGGCTGTGCAAGCATGACACTAGCATCTGCTCAGCTTCTGGGTAGGCCCCAGGGAACTTTTACTCATGATGGAAGGTGAAAGGGGAGCAGGCATGTCACATGGTGAGACAGGGAGAAAGAGATACTAGGCTCTTTTAAACATTCATATTTCACAGTAACTAATAAAGTAAGAACTCATTCATTACCATGGGGAGGGCACTAAGCCATTCATGAGAGGTCTGCTCCGGTGATCCAAACACCTTCCACCAGGCCCCACCTCCAACACTGGGGATTACATTTCAACATGAGATTTAGAGGTGACAAGCATCCAAACTATTTCACATGGATATATTGTGTAACGACGTGATTTGGACTTCTGGTGAATGCATCCATCATCCAAATCGTGAACATTGTACCCAATAGGTAATCTTTCAACCCTCACCTTCCTCTCACCCTCCTGCCTTTTGGAGTTGCCAGTGTCTGTTATTTCCATTTGTATGTCCATGTGTACCCCTTTTTTAGTGAGGACATGTGGTATTTGATTTTCTGCTTCTGAGTTATTTCACTTACAACACTCTTCTAAAAGTGAGAATTTAGGCTTTCTGGTAAGTATACCATTAGATGATAATTGTACTCTTTAGCGTCTGGAATCAAAGTTTATTCTGATTTGCTCAGCCAAAGCTCTTTAACTCTGGATCTGGTATGGAAGAAATGGAGCAGTCTATTCTCATCTGGACCAATCCTGGGAAACATCCTCATCTCAATTAATCCATAAGTCACATCACAGGTTTCTTTGTTTTGTTTTGTTTTTCTGTCACCATGATTCTCCATCCAATGGCTCTTGTGGAATAAAGCAATGCACAGAACAGGCACCAAGGTAATATTTATTGAATGCAGGAAGTGGCACTAATAGTCTTTTTTATTTTTTGAGACAGCATCTTTGGCTGGGTGTGGTGGCTCACGCCTGTAATCCCAGCACTTTGGGATGCTGAGGCGGGTGGATCACAAGGTCAGAGGTTAAAGATCAGCCTGGCCAATATAGTGAAACCCTGTCTCTACCAAAAATACAAAAAAAAAAAAAAAAAAAGAGAGAGAGAGAGACAGCATCTCACTCTGTCACACAGACTGGAGTGCAGTAGCACAATCACAGTTTACTGCAGCCTCAACCTCCAGGCTCAAGTGATCCTCCCACCTCAGCCTCCTGAGTAGCTGGGACCACTGGCATGTGCCACTGCACCCAGCTAACTTTTGTAGTTTTTGTGGAGACGGGGTTTTACCATGTTGCCCAGGCAAGTATCAAACTCCTGAGCTCAAGCAATCTTCCAGCCTTGGCCTCCCTAAGTGTTGGGATTATAGGTGTAAGCCACTGCACCTGGTTAGAAGTCTTAAATGACAGAGAGGAGTGAGCTAGATGAAAGAGAAAAGGGATATTTCAAGTAGAGAGCACAACATGTACAAAAACTGGGCAATGTGAATTGTTTAGGGAACTACAAGTGGCCGAGAGTGGCTAGAGGAAATGCAGTGTGATGGAGTGCAGCTTAGCCTTGCCACTGTCAGGACTTTGGAGCCTGCCAGCTTTGGTTTGAATCCTAGTTCCACCTCTCTCAGCCGAGTGTCTTTGGGCTAGTTATATAACCTCTCTGTATCTACCTCATGGGGTTTACAACTATTAAATGAATTATGGTATATTAAATGCTTAAAATATTGCATAATACATAATGACTACTCCTACTATTAATCTTCTTATTGTGAATAGTGAGATAGGCAGGGTACAGGTCCTAGAGGCTCCTACGTTAAAAGGAAGAAAATTAAAACTATATGCCTAAAGCCATGGGGAAGTTTAGTTGGGTTTTGTAAGAAGTAGGGAGAAAGTGTGTGATTTGATTTTTAGAAAGGTCATTCCAGTACCTGGATAGAGGATGGATCAAAGGGAATCAAACTAAAGACAGAAAGGCCAGTGAGGAGGCAACTGTGGTAATACAGATGAAGAGAGTCGGAAGCTTAAATTAAGTAAATGCCAGGTGCAATAAAGAGGAGAGGGAGCATCAGGTGAGAGTGAGCAGGAGAAGTCACAGGCCTGGGTCCCTGAATCTCAGTTGTCAGGCCTGGGAAGTTGGGTGGTGTGGATACCACTCACCAAGAATGGGAACGCCAGGAAAGAAGTGGATTTGGAGAAACATGGGGGAGCTTAGTTCTGTAGTAGATGGTGTCTTTGATTTTGGACATACTGGGTTTGAAGAGAACAGCCAAGTACTGACGCTTGGTAGGTAATGGCTTGGTGCTTCAGGAAGAGATCAGAACCCTTTGATAAGAGCACTGGCCCATTTAGAAATGAAGCTGTCTATACTTATGGACTGAAGAACCACCATTTTTTGTTAGTTGTTTAAGATGTGATCTCTGCCTTAATTATCGATAGTCATATTCAAAAGATTCACTAAATCCCATCTGGAAAATGGAGACATTTTTGAAATTCTTTTGGCAATTCAGCAGCATTATCATTGATTATTCAGTAGTGACTGAAACAAAGACACTGCCAAAATTAGACATACACTCATTGCTTTGGCTATGTTTTGAGAATTTTGTCAACTGATTGTCTTTGCAATGTCCTTCCTTTGGATATATAATAAAAATAATAAATATACAGTCATTATTTGAATGTGTGCATATAGTTGCAAAATTAGCATGTGTTTATATGGATAATGTGTTTCTAGTTTTACACTGTTTCGTCACTCAAAAATTTTATTATGACTGCAACTTTCCCCCATAGGTATCTCTGATGAATATATAACACCTATGTTTAGTTTTTATAAAAGTATTGGGGAACTGAAAATGACTCAAGAGGAGTATGCTCTGCTTACAGCAATTGTTATCCTCTCTCCAGGTAATTTCAATGTTACATTTTAATTTTTATGCCATTTTTTTCAGTATACTAGTAATAACATTTATTGAAAAAAATCTGGAAGACACAGAAATATAAAGAAAAAGTAAAGTGGCCTATAATTCTACCATCCAAATAGAACCATTATTAACCTTTCAATACACTTCTTCTCAGTCTTTTTTAAAAAATCACACTTACTCATTTAATAAATGTATATTGAACACCTACTATGTACTAACCATGGTGCTAAACCCTGGGGATGCAACAAGACACAGCTCCCATGCAACTTGCATTCTGGTAGGATGAGAAAGATAATAAATGAAGAAACAATAATATTTTTTCAGACGGTGGTAAATGCTACAAAAAATGTAATGAGAATACAAAGAAAGAGAGTGGCACAAAAATGATGTTGTAATTTGTGGTCACGGGAGGCTTTTCTAAGTGGGTGGCATTGGAGCAGGGATCTAAATGAAATTACATACTTTTTATTTTTTCTGAGTTTATATTTCTTCAAAAGTCATTTCCCAAGTCATTAAAAATTTACATTGGTAAAGTTGTAATATGTGCTATGTATTCCATGGTATGCATATACAATCATTTACCTAATCTTTACCATGTGTTTGTATATTCAGGATATTTCCAGTTTTTTTGTTGTTGAAAATGTTTTTTTCAACAGTTTTTTTTGTTGTTGTTGAAATGAATACCTCTTTCCATATTTTTTTTCTATATTTTTGGGTTACTTTAATAATTTGGGAGTTGAATGATGCCATGTTCATGATTTGCAAAGCATAAAACAACACTAGCCTTAGACCATTTTTATACATTATACTGAGGCAGAAGCTAGTTGTTATTTTGCTTTACCATAAAAATTATGACTTGTGACTAAAAGCAGAACCTACTAAAGTTATGCATGGATATGTCCTATGACCCAGTCATTTCACTTCTGAGAATATACTCACCAGAAAGGATGCTGATGTCCACCCTACAGGTTATCTTTAGGGGTTTTGATTGGAAGGGGAATTAGGGAGGCTTCTGGGAAGCATTACGTGTGTTGTATCTTGATCTCATTATAATTACGTGTGTGTGCGCATAAAAATTCATCAGGTTGAACACTTAATTTTTACATTTTGTGTACAACATTTAACTTACACTTTGAAATAGTTAACGTTGCTATAATTATGCTGAATTAATGCTTTTCCACTTTTAAATTTTGTCATTTTATTTTTAACTTCAAAACAGACAGACAATACATAAAGGATAGAGAGGCAGTAGAGAAGCTTCAGGAGCCACTTCTTGATGTGCTACAAAAGTTGTGTAAGATTCACCAACCTGAAAACCCTCAACACTTTGCCTGTCTCCTGGGTCGCCTGACTGAATTACGGACATTCAATCATCACCATGCTGAGATGCTGATGTCATGGAGAGTAAACGATCACAAGTTTACCCCTCTTCTCTGTGAAATCTGGGACGTGCAGTGATGGGGATCACAGGGGAGGGGTCTAGCTCCTTTTTCTCTCTTATGATATTAATCTGAAGTATAACTTTCCTTTATTTCACTTGTACCCAGTTTCACTCAAGAAATCTTGATATTTATGTTGTAATTACATGTATAACTTCCACAACTGTAAATATTGGGCTAGATAGAACGACTACATTGTGTTTTAAAAGGCTCCAGGGAATCCTGCATTTGATTTGGCAAGCCCTGTTTGCCCAATCAAATTGATAGTTACTTCAATTCTATCTGTTGAACTAGGGAAAATCTCATTTTGCTCTTCATCTTACCATATTGCTTATATTTTATTAAAGAGTTGTATTCAATTTTGGCAATAAAGCAAACATAATGGCAACAGGCTTTTCTTTGGGAACAAAATTTGATAAATATACAAACTCATTTCTTTAAATGTTGAAAGACATCCTATTGAATCTGAGGGGGTAATTTACAGAAAGATACTGTCTCTCATTACGTCAATGGAACTTTTGTCATCCCTGGAAAAGTCCTGGTGAATTTGTAATAGCCCTCTGATCATTTCCTTTTCTTTGAAGTTCAAAGAGAATAGCAAACAGAAAAGTTAACAATTTTCACATAAAATATTCCCTCAAGCAATCCTTTCTCCCATAGTTAGTCTTGAGGCAGGATTCACAAATTCAGAGTATGCAGCTAACTGCAGTGATGGGACCTTCCCTTTCCTCTCTTAAAAGTGCTCCACTGGCTTCCTTGTATCCAATCATCTTTCTGTTTTGTTTTACTTTTGAAAACATTCCTACAGCTGGGTGCACAGCTGCTGTATACTTCCCCCAAAGCAGGAATTACTTCATTTCCTTCTTTCATTGTTACACTGTTGCATTCTTCTCCCCATTATCCTTTGGTGAATACAATAAAACACCTTCTATAAGTAATGGGCTTATATCTCCCTTTCTCCTAAAATTAGCCAAAGTGGAACATGATTAGCAAGCAGTTTTTTTTATATCAAAATACTAGGACAACCCTGGAATTCTAAAAATAACCAGTCAGTGGAAAACTCTGTTGAGGCTAGCATCAATTGGATTCTGATACAACGAAAATGTCTTGAGTTCCCAGTAAGTACAAGATTCATTTGCTAAACTCCATGGAGGATACCGAAATGATTAAGACCCAGTAACAAGAGCTGAGCCCAATGGCTCACACCTGTAATCCCAGCACTTTGGGAGCCTGAGGCTGGAGGATTGCTTGAGCCCAGGAGTTTGAGACCAGCATGGGCAACATAGGGGAAACCCTGTCTCTACAAAAAATAGAATAAAATCAGCCAGGGGCTGTGGCTTGCACCTGTGCTGGTCCCAGCAACTTGGGAGACTGAAGCAAGAGGATTGCTTGAGCCCCAGAGTTGGAGGCTGCATTGAGTCATGATCGCACCATTGCACTCCAGCCTGGGCAACAGAGCGACACCCTGTCTTCAAAAAAAGAAAAAGAACAAAACCCAGTAACTGCCCGGAGGGAGTTACAAAGGCTGCAGCGGAACTTGCCGTAGGCTTACCCTGGAACTTGGGAAAGTTTCATAGAGGAGATGGTACTTCTGCTGGACTTAAAGGGATAGCCCTGAATCAGTGGGTCCAGGTAGGAGGGAAGGGGTTCAAGGTGAAAGGGGTAGCAGGAGCAAAAGGAGAAAGGTGGTGGGTTGTACAGATGTTAAAAGACCATACGTAATCTGGGGAGGGAGGGAGGATGCACAGTCTCTTTCTAAATTTCAGTTTCACCATTGTGAAATGCAGAGATCAGCACTTATTGCATCAGGGAATTTGGCTTATTAATGAAGAGTAAGTGAGAAGTAGCAGGCCCACCAGGGAGAGGGTTGGTGAGGAAAGGACATTGAAGAAAGAAGTAAATTTCTGAATGCCTGAAAAGGTAGATCTAGTTTGAGGGAGCTGAGTACAGTTTGGTGTCTCTGGATCTCATGCCACCTGTGCAGACAGCAGTGAGAAATGAGGCCGGAACTGGTGGGGCACTGGAGACAGAGCAAGAAGCTTAATCCTATAGGTCTGGATTTATTCAAGTGGTTAAGACCTTGTAACAGCAAACAATAATGCTCATCACATGGAAAACTAATTGTGATGCTATAAGAAATACATACTGTTTTTGTTCCTGGTTTGTGACACAGCTTCTAAGAGCCTTGGGATTTCCTGAGTGATAGGGGTAATAAGAGCATCTCTTGGTGAAAATAAAATACAAATTTTAAGTGCTGTGAAAGAGAAGTATGTCCCTTGCTCTGATATGCACCTTTATGGGTCATTTTCCACACTAGTAGAGTGATTTTTTTTTTCTAAAATGCAAATCTGGTTACATGTTCCCCATCCCACTTGATTTCCCATTGACTTGAGCAGAGACCCAGAGCTCCTTGGGAGAGCAGCTGGCTATGGAGACCTCCCCGCCGCCCTACTATATGATCCTACCGGTTTTGTCTCCTGCCCTACCTATATTCTAGGTTTCCAAATAAAATGCACTCCGCAGAGGTCTATCTTCTCTTACACCAAATGAGAAAGAAAGTATAGAGATGGGGGAAAGAAAGGGGTTTGCTTGTTTTCTCCCTTTTCCCTTCCACCCCAGGTCCCGAGTAGGGGTGATTTTGTGTCGCAGACGGACATTTGGCAACGTCTGGAGACACTTTTGGTTTTCATAACTTGGAGGTAGAGGTGCTACTGGCCTCTAGTGGGTAGGAGCTGGTGATGATGCTAAGCTTCCTACAACGCACAGAATAACCTCCCTCAGCAATTATCTGGCCCAAAATGTTAACAGTGCTGAGGTTTAGAAACCCTGCTCTCTCCCATCCGGTCTTAGTTCATTTAGGCTGCTGTAAAAATATACCGTAAACTGCGTAGCTTATAAACAACAGGAATTGATTCCTTACAGCTCCACGAAGTCCAAGATGAAGGCACTGGCAGATTCAATGTCTGGTGAGGACTTCCTGGTTCCTAGATGGCATCTTCTAGATGTGCCCTGACATGGTGGAAGGCATTAGCTAGCTCTCTTGGGTCTCTTTTATAAGGGCACTCATCCCAGTCATGAGGCTTCACCTTCATGGCCTAATCACCTCTCAAAGGCCCTACCTCCTAATACTATCAGTTTAGGGGTTAGGATTTCAACATATGAATTTTGGGGGGACACAAATATTCAGACCATAGCATTTCCCAAGAAAATATGACTCCTACAGAGTACTCTCTCTTGACCTGATCTAGCATCTAGCTTCAGCATAATTCTCATGGTGGTGGTTTTCTAGTTCATAACAACATTGTGGACAGTCATTTTATTAATGAATCCAAATACTGGATATGAGTAATTGTTTTTGAAATTTTGTTTTCTTTGTTTGTTGTTCAGAATGAGAAACTGATTTCACTCATTGATCCTATAGCAGCAGAATTTTACTTTTCCCCAGATTTTTACAAACTTACAATTTATTCTTTTTTCCTTATGTAAAATAATAAATTTAGTACACTATCACATATCACATTTGGGTGTTAGCTGACTTATTTGTTGGACACTCAGAATCCACTGCCTTTACTTCTGTAAGAGTACTCTGATTTCTGCAGGGGAACCACCCTCTTCCGTCTCTTAGTTCATATGTTGTAAGTGGAGTTGATTCCACCCCCAGCTCCTGAGTTGGAATGTGACTCAAGCATAGCTAATCAGAATATCACGTATCTTAGGTCACAGTAATTGGTTTAGAATTGGGCAGGTGACTTGTTTAAAGAAAATGAGATATATTGCTGGAAGTATTTTTAGGAGGAAGGCAGTGTCAGTTACATGCCTCTGTGTGTGTGTGTGTGTGTGTGTGTGTGTATTAATTGTTCCAAATTCTTCACTCTCTCCCTGTAGTAGAATTGTCTGGTCAGGTTATTTGACTCGTGAATTTGCAGTGCCTCTCACAGGAGTAGGCAGAACATACTTCCCCACCCACTGATGTTGAGCTTGTCTTTGTGGCTTGCTTTTGGCAATGGAATGTGGGTGGAAGTGAGAGTGTCGGTTTCAAGCTATGGCCTTAAGAGACATCCCATGTTTCTGCTGCTGCTCTTACACTTCCGCTATCTTCCATGAAAAGGGAATGCCCTGGATAGTTGCAAGTCTCAGAATGAGAGACAGAAGGAGCACACCTAAACTCAACTTACAGCTTGAAGCAGCATCCCTCCTCTCAACCATGAGCTAACATGCAGATCGACAAACAAGAAAAATCAATGTTTACTACTGTAAGCCACTGAAAGTTGGGAGTTGTTTGTTATACAGCATTATCATAGCAACAGTCTAGCTAATATATCCTATTTGTGTTCAGATCTGTTCCCTTCCTTCCCTTCTCTGTTCATCTAGGGAGGGAGGGCTAACCCCTGACCGGCTACATTTTATAGGTTTCTCTGTTAACTGGCTTTGGCCAGGTTCAATCAATGGAAGGTATTGATGGGAGACTGGAGGATGAGAAGGGAAAAGCCAGGATATTTCTCCCTCACTCTCTTTGCCTCAGGTTGCATCTCTGGTAAAGATTGTATCTCCTACATGGTTCCCAGTCCCACTGGGAAACTCCCCCCACCCCAGTGCTGATGGCCCTGGTTTCTAAACTCATCTTTTGAACTCTAAACCCTAGAATTACAGTGGCTTCCTACTATTGCTAATCTCTGAGTTGTCTTACCTGCTCCTGTTTACCTTCTCAACTGTTTTGCAAAACCAAGTCTGTGTTAAGTTCCTGCTTTTTGATGCACCTATAATGGTTTGTGTCTTCTGACTTGAGAACTGTATCGAATGACTCACTTTTTTTTAGTTAGACTCAAACCTAAGAGAATGAAGAACTAGAACTTCTGGAAACCATCATATAACCAGGAGGAACCTGAGAATAAAGTCAACATGAAAACCAAAGCCAGTAGAGACTGGATTTTGGTGACATTATCTAAAATCTTAGATCAAGCTGTACCTAAACTTAGAGCGTTCTATCCTGGCATTTTAATTACACGAGCCAATACCTGCCCTTTTTTTCTTAAGTGAATTTGAGGATTTTTTTTTTTCTTTTGCTATCAAATATAACTAAATGTGATAGAAACTTGATGATACTTGAACAGTAAGCCATTTAGAAATAACATGTGCTCTTTAAGAGCCTGGCGTGGCTACAATGCTAATATTTGTGAAGATGTCTTATAGATGAACTGTAGGAGAGGGAGTGTAGCTCAATGTAATCGTTCTTGCTAGGCTGTTAGATTTTTACATCTCTCTCCAGATATAGATTGTATTCGTTTCTTAGGGGTACTCTTAACAAATTGCCACAAATTTGAAAGCTGAAAACAATAGACATTTATGTTATTTCAAGTTTCTGGAGGCCAGAAGTACAAAATCAAGGTGTCAG